AGCATCGCACCACGTCAGGTGTCAGGCACGGGGCGGCAGAGACCTCCCCTTCCACCCCTCGTCGGGCTGAGGCTGCAGGCCCACGGGGCGTGTGCACGTGTGTGTCCCTGTCACGGGGATTTGCACGCGTGTGTCCCTGTCACGGACGTGTACACGTGTGTGTCCACGTCGTGGGGCGTGCACGTGCGTGTCCGCGTCACGGGGCAGAGCGCACGCGCGAGCAGGGCGAGGCTGTGCCGTCCCTCCTCCGAGAGGCCGTGTCCTGGGACGGGTTGCGGTTACATAGGAGGACGACCTCCCCGGAGGGCCGGCTGGTCAGGGCAGTCACAGGGTCACCAGGTTCGTGCGAGACAGGCCTGGATCCACACACGAGAACATGCGAGGGAAGGGCAGCCACGTGAGGGGCAGACGCGTGAGCACCGGCTGCTCTCCCGTCTGTTCCTCTCCCGACTCACTTCACACCTGCCACGTCCGTGTAGACGCCTGTCAGCTCTCCGTGAGGAAGGAAAGGGGCGGCTTCCCTGGGCCCCCGGTCCTGGGCCCCTCGCAGAAGCGCTCTGCCTCCCGAGCACACGGCTGGACCGTAACCAGGTTCACGGCGACCGTCGCGGACTCCAGACGCCGCAGGACCTCACGCATCCCCCCAGACACAGGGGAAGGTTCTGGCGATCCAACCGCATGTTACTTACTAGTCACGCACACACCCAGCCATCAGGGATGTGGCCGCCCCGCCCCGCCCCGCCCCGCCCCGCACTCCTGCGGCCCCAGAGACGGGCACGCGTCCCGACGTGGGCACCCCGCAGTGAGGCGGCAGACGGGCCGGCCGGGCTCTCCCACGTGTGTCGGAAAGGAGCGGGCAGGGGGCCGCCGCGTGTCCAGAGCTGCTGTGGGAAGTCGGCCTGTGGTCAGCGGCTCCGCACGTGACCGCATGTGGCCCAGGACGGGCTGCGCGGCCCCCGGCAGCCACCACCCAAGGTGTGCTGCGTGACGTCCCGCCAGAAACCTCCGTTATCTGTCTTCTGCGTTGCAGCTTCCAGCTGCCAGACGCTCAGCCCCGAGACCCCGTTAAGGTGACTGTGGGTTTTATTTAAATCCTTTGTCACCAAGAAATGATAGTAAATGATAAAGGAGCGGGTTCCCTGCACCGCCTTCGGATGCCGCCTGTCCTGCTGCCACGTGCACTCGCCGGGCCCTCCAGGAGTCTGCTGGGGCGCGGGGAGAAGTCGCCAGGCCTCGGGTGAGGTCAGGGTCATGGGGACACGGAGAGAGCGCTCGGCGTCCCGGCTGCAGTCCTCCTGTGCCCGGACACGCACCCGTGCTGCTGGCTCCCACGGCCGTGGGCACAGTCCCCGGCCCAACCCGGCCCAGAGCAGCCCCACGTGCAGGAGCTCCACGGAGGCCCCCCAAGCCCTCGCCAAGGCACGGGGTCTCCCGCCAGCCCCCAGCCTGCTCGTGCCTCGGGGACAGGCACTGGACTAGGACGTGGAGGACTGTTCCTGGTTCAACAAATGTTTCCGACAGAACCCTAGGTTCAGAAATGTGCTGTTTGTCCTAATGCTCTGCGCGTTAAGGGGAGCTGACGTCTGTCACAAACACGGGGATGCTTGGTGTTGGCGACGAATCCTGCGACCACGTCCGCAGTCGGCGATCCGCACAGAGCCACGGCCCTTAACGGGAGGCCAGTGAGGGGGAGCAGACGGGGCTGAGCACGCCCCTTCCCAGCCTTGGTCCGTGGTCACCCTTCTCTCTCAGAGTCACTGGCTCACGCAATGGGCAGACGTCCAGTTGTGTTTACTCAGTCTCGCTGGGAGCCCGGAGCAGCTGCCGTGCCGGTCAGGGTGCAGGGAGTGCGGGAACCGAGGCCACCCAGCCAGTGCCTGTGTCCCCCAGGGAGCGCCCAGCCAGAGCTGAAGGACAGGCCAGGACACCGCGCTCACCCGTCTCACACACTCCCCTGCCACCAGAAGGATTTATGGAGATGGACTTCAACCTCCCGTCCACGTTCCAGAAACAAACCCACCCCTCTCCTGCCCCCGTGCACCCCAAAGCCCCTGAAGCGGGCCGTCCGAGTGGCCTGGCCTAGCTGGGCGTCCGCACTCACGCCTCACTGCTTCTCTTTACCGCTTCTGTCCCTCTTGCCGTGGCACAAAGCATCAGCACAAAAGCCGCTCTTCTGCGGGCAGGGCGGTGATCTGTCGAGTGAATGAGACGCGGGAGAGAGCTCCAAGCAAGGCTCCGGGAGAGGGAGGTGGGAAACCCGGTTCGGATTCCCGCTGCTTCCTTACCCCCGTAAGGATGTTTGTTCTGAGAGCAAACATAACCGAGGGGCTAAAGGCGGGCCTCCCGCCTGCCCGGACCCCGGCTCACCATCGCAGAGGCACTCTGCCCCCCAGCCGACTGGCTGCAGTTCACACCAGGTCCTGAGATCCCCCAACACCCGTGTGCACGCGGCATTCAGAAGAAAAACACGGCCTCCTGCGTCGCAGGGGAGGGCTGGGGTGTCCCGAAGAGCAAGCAGAGAAAGAGCCGTCCTGGCCCCAGTGCAGACCCGCATCCCACACACGCCACGGCCACGTCCGGGGGCACGTCCGGGGACGCTCTCTTCGGCCCTCCGGGCAGGGCACGGGGACCAGGCCAGCTCCGACAAAGGCTGGACCAGCCGGGGCTGCACGAGGGAACCACAACACGCCTCCCTCTCCGGTCACAGCCTTATTCATCTTTCAAGCGGTGGGAGGCCCATGGGCCAGAGGGGGTGCCGATCGGCCACAGGGTGGCCTGCGTCTCCACACAAAAGGTGAAGTGTGGGGAAACGGCTCCCTGGGGCCCCCATTCTTCATCCTGAAACAACTCTTCCCCCTCATCGACAGACAGCGAGTGTCAGCTGCCTCGCCAGCCCCCTCCCTGGCTGGCTGCTGCTGGAGCACAGTGGGCCGGTGCAGTGCCTTGCCGGCCCAGAATAGTCCCGTGTCTCCTGCGCGAGGAGGGGCGGCCCCTCAAGGGGCCACGAGGGGCAGGTCACAGGACAGGCAGGCTTCTGCCCATCCCCAAACAGCTGGGGCCACCGTTTCAAGACCCGCTAACCGGACTTCCACAAATCTTGGGACTCCCGTGGTCTGTCTGGAGGATACAGGGCCCCCGAGGACGCACCTGCTCCACGGCCCCCCGGCCTACCTCCCCGCTCCTCTACCGCCTGCTAGAGCCCCGGCACGTACGTATCTGCATCAAAGTCAACGCCCAGATCGTCTGTGAAGGGCTCTCAAGAACCCATCCCCGCAATACTTCCCTCCGAGAGCCCGAGGACTCGCTTCCACGTTGGCCTGCCCCGCACCCAGCCCCTCTGCACCCAGGGACAGCGGCTCTTGCCTCTTGATCAAACGAAAGTGTCCTTATGACTGGAGGCCCCAGGAGGACGGCAGTGTCCCCCAAAGAGACCAGGACCGGTCAGCTCTCACGCGGCGAGTGTGAAGCACCCAGCCTCTCGTGAGCAGAGCAGGCCACAGCGTCAGTTGCATGTCGAACCTCACCTTCGAAATAAGGGATGCTGCCCTGCATCGCAGAAGCTCCCCACATAGACGGGCACTTTCGACCTTGGGAAGAGGCAGTAAAACTTTACCATGCGTTCCTTCCCCACAACGAATGCCTCCCCCCAAAAGGAGAGATCTGTGGCAAGGGTGAGGAACGGAGCACCTGAACAAGGCCCAGCTGCCCAGGGGCCCTTGGCGGGTCCTCGGATCGCCCCAGCAGAGGACACGGATGGCAACAGCCCTCTGGAGGCTCGCCAGCCCTGTAGGACCAACCCAAGGCAGAACCACCCACTCCTGAAGCAGGTCAGGGAGCCAGTGTTGGGGGGAGCTGGCCTCCAAGTTCGGGGGGGGGGTCTCAGCGGGCCCTTGCAGGGCAGGGCCACACCTGCAGCCAAGCCCTGGGACAGCCACCTCTCCCTTAGGGACCTGGACCCAAATTAAAGGGAGAGAAATGGACACTAGGCCAGTGGAGGTCGTCCGGCCTGGGGCCGGCCTCCCGCACCTACCTGCTTCCCTGGGAAGCCAGCAGCAGCTCACTCATTAGGCAGGGAAGCAGCTGAATGTTGCAAATCCTTCCTTTGTAAGAACCCAGAGCTAATGAGGATCTGCTGCCATTACCCAGCCACACTGGCTCCCGCCCGTGCTTCCCGCTCCCTGCTGGCCGGGGGAGCGCCAAGCAGCACTGGTGGCAAGGTGCCTGAGGGCAAGGGCACCCAGGTGACAGGCGTGGGCAGTGCATGCAACTGGGGGGGGGGGGGGAGTGCCTGGGTCTGCTGTTGTGCCAGGCCGGCAAGACTGAGCCCGGGCTGTCCCAGGACAGCTGCAGGACAGCCCTGCTCCTGGGCCAGGAAGTTTCCAGGAGTGCCCACCCAACCTTATTAGGACCTGGGGTGAAAGGCTTCCCTGTCCCAAAGAACCCTCCAGGCAACAAAGGGTCCAACCACCAAGTCTCGCCTAAACCAAGTCCCAAGAACCGGATGCAGGAGCTGTACGCTCCAGCATACTCCGGCAGGGCAAGGAGCCGCGCACTCTGCCAGCCACGTTCCCGCTCCCCCACTCCGCAGGTCCCTGGTTCCGCCCAGGAAGGCAGGCTGGGGAGCGGTGCGCTGCGCTCAGGCCTCCCGCCCCGGCCCTCGCCGGTCCCCCGGCCCCACGCCCGCCCGGCGCGCCAGCGTGGAGCGCGGGTGCCATCTACCGAGGGCCCGCGGAGAGCGGGCGAGCGCCGCTGCCAGCGGGGCCGTGTGGGGCAGGGGCCGGCGCCGCAGCCTCAGCGAGGGCTGGGGCTCCCGGCGGCGCGAGGGCACCGAGGTCCCTGTGCCCGCCCCGCGCGGCGGGTGAGCTCCGAAGGGCCGCGCGCGGGAAGGTCCGCGCCGGGGCTCCCGGCCCGCAGTGGCGCTCGGCGAGCCCGGCGCGGGCAGCGGAAGACCGTGCCGCGGGGACAGCGTCCGGGGACCGGTCCGCGCCGGGGACAATTACCTTCTTTGAGGAACTGCGCGTGGATCACCAGGACCAGGAAGCAGCAGAGCGCGGCCCCCGCGAGTGCCCAGAGCGCCTTCAGGAGCTGCATCGCGGAGAGCCCACTCGGCCGACGCCCCCGAAGTCGCGCAGCGAAGGTTCAGGCGCCGCATCAGCGCCCCGCCGGGTGCAGCCGCCGCGGCCGCCCGCTCGCGCCCCCCATCCGCCGCCACCGCCGCGGCCGCCGCGACTGGAGGCGCCACTCCGGGCGGCGATGCGCGTCTTTCGGGCAGGGGGAGGGGAGGGGCGGGGGGCGCCGGGGAGGGGCGGCGGGGCGGGGAGGTTAGCAGAAAGTCTCCGGCCGCGGCGGCCGCCGCTCCGGCCACTCGGCCACCATCGCGGGCTGCGGGGCGCGGGGGGCCCGGGCGCGGGGGGGCGGCCGCCGCGGCCCCATGAATCAGCCCCGCCGCCGCCCCCGGAGCCGCGCCGCCCGCAGGGCCCGGACGGCGGGCCGCGGATTGCGCAACGGCCGGCGGCGCGGGGGGGTCCTGCGCGCCCCGGGCCCTCCGCCGCCGCTCGGCGCCTCCTGCCTCTCCTCCTCCTCCTCCGCCTCCTCCTCCGCCTCCGCCTCCGCCGCCGCGCTCGCTCCGGCCGGGGCTCAGGGGGCCGCGCCGCCGCCGCGGAGAGCCGGACTCGGGGCCGGGGCTGCGCGCAGGGCGCGGGGCTGCCGCACCATCGCCGCCGCCGGGGCCCGGCCGAGCCCGCCGAGATCCAACTTGCGCGGCCCGGGGCTGGCGGGCCGGTCACCCCCGGACGGGGCCGGCGTCCGCGCTCCCCGGAGCCCGCGCCTCCGCCGCTGCGGCCGGACGAGGCCCGGGCCGGCGCTTCCGCGGGCCGCCCGCGCTGGTCGGCGCTGCCGGGGCCGGGGCCGGGGCCGGGAGCAGGGCCGGTGGCGGGGCCGGCGCTGGTGTCGGTGGCGGCGGCGGCCGCGCCGACAGGTGGGGCCCGCGACGCTGCGCGCCTCGCCGCCCGCGGGAAGCCGCTGCTCCGGCCCGGCCGCGCGCGCCCGCTCGCTCGCTCGGCCCCTTTTGGGGAGGCGGCCCGCGCGGCGCTCGGACTCCGGCCCGCGCCCGCCGCCGTCTGCGCTCTGCCGGGTCCGCGGAGCCGCCGATGCGCACTGGGCCGCGCAGGGGACCCGGGGGACCCCCGCCGCCCTGCAGCGCCCCCGCCTGGCGCGCCGGCGGGTCAGGCGGGGCCTGTCCAGCCGAAAACCGCGGGTCGGGCTCCACCTAGGTGCGCAGGGGCCTCACTGCAGAGCCTCCGCGGCGGGCGCCGGAGCGGGGCGGGCGGCCTCCAGCACGCCCAGCCCCCTCACAGCCCGCGGCCCCGCGGCGGGGCGGGGAGGGCCCGGGCCAAGGCCTCGGCCTCAGGGCGGCCCAAGGATGACCCACGGTGGCTTCTGAAAAAACGGCACCTCTGCCCGGAGACACACACACGCGCACAAACCACCACGTTCGGGGCCTGGTACGGGAGAGCCTCCAGGCCAGCCGCGAGGCCCTGGAGCGCGTGGGCGCACAGTGGATGCCCAGGGACCGCTCTGGATGGAACGGCGGGCACCGTCCTCCCTCCTCTAGACAGGGCCAGTATTTCTCTCTGGCCGATTTTCCTCACCTCCCCGTGCCATGGGCCAGGAGCATCCGTGTCCCATTCAGTGTGGCGTTAGGAGGTCAGTGGGGTGGGCCTCCAGGCAGTTTTGCCTGAACAGAAGAATTAAAGTGCCCAGCAAAGAGCTTTGGAGGTGGATCCGGTGCCCTGTTCGAGGTGGGTGGGGGGCAAGGACCTCCCGGGGGCAGAGCGTCCTTTTGAGTATGAGGTAGGCCTGGAGACACAGTGCAGGGCTCACATGAAGGCTGTTTTCTTCCTGCGCAGACATCTGTGTACCGGGTAGGGAAAGGCCAGACCTGGAAGGGGCTCCTAGAGGTCAGCTAGGTCTAGCCCCTGAGTGTCCACGTGGGGAGCCTGGAGTCCACGGAGGCAGGCAGGAGTGCTGATGGCAAGTACGCCGCTCCGACATGAAGCAGGCCAGGATGAGAGCCTGACCTGCTCCTGTCTGCCTCCCTCGAGGCCACTGGGCTGGCCTGATCAGAGAAGCTGCCTGACAGTCAATCGCGCACCTGCAGGGGTGTCATTCCTCAAGCCCCCCGCCCTTCCCGGAAGCCATTGGAGAAAGAATGCCAGTCCAGACCCTCCCCTGGGGAGAAGTGGCTCTGTCTCACCCCAGCCAGGGACTCGGGACCTCAAAGAGGACTGGTGTTCTCCAGCCCCGTCTCCGAGCCCTATCTCCTGTCCAGCATTTCTGCCTTCAGCCCGAGACACTGTCCCTTGATACCCTACCTATAGCAATCACGTGGGGAACCGCCCTCCCTACTGTGCACAGCCTGACCTCCACCAAGGTCATCGCCTTCATCCCTCACACGGAGCAGAGCAGTCCACTCCAGAAGGCGTGAGGGTCACCGGGGTGCTTATTTTACACGCACACCTGGGACCCCAAAGGGACCTCCATTGGGAAGCAGAGCCCACCTCTCACATCCTCTGTGTTCCCGACCAGGTGTGTATTATTTGAAAATTTGGAAATTGAGAAATGTTTTAAATTCGCCAGGGGAACTTTAAAAACCTAACCATTTGGAGGCTCCTTCTGTAAAGGGAATTGAAGAAAAGAAAGTTCATAAAGAGAAGCACGCAGGCATTTTCGTCCAATGGGTAGAACAGGAAGACCTGTGTGTCCAGCCGTGGGGACCCTCAGAGCACCGTCCTTCTCTGGGTACCGAGAACTTCCACCAGTGAGTGGACGTGGCATTGCTTGTACCCTTAGAGGAGGCAAGGGGGATCCTGTGGCCGGTGCCCATCAGGGCCGGTTAACAGTGCATATCATGGAGGCCTGCGGTGCCCCAGGAAAGTCTGTTCAGAAGGGCAGCGCGAGCCCCCATGCAGACCTTGGAAGGAGATGTCCAGTTCTGACCACAAAGACATTTTCAGAAACAATTAAACTGTAATGGTGTTGGGAATCAAGAACGAGAACGATCTGTAGGCCAGAAAGCTGAGAAATTCTGGAACCAGTGGCTGCGGAAAAGGGGCTGCAGTTGGAGCTGCCGGAAGGGTGCCCAGGGCCTCCCCCATCAGCCCCCGTGTTGACAAAGGAGGAAGTAGTGCATCCAAGGGACAGGGCGCGTGCTCACCAAGCGGACACTCCCCAGGAAGGGCTGCATTTCCAAAGCATGGGGTTGGTTTGTCGCCTGCTCCCCCATCACACACAGCTGGTGTCAGACAAATTTAGTTCAGGCCTGTGAGAGGGGAGTGCTGTCCAAACAGAGATCTGGCCTCCACCTGGGGAGGGTCCCCCGGAATGCCAAGGGCATAAGACCCTGGATGGATAAAGTGTGCGTTTTGTTGAATGTGTCTCTAACTTACAACTGGCATTACCTTCCGTTGGGCACGTAGGCAGGAAACACGGTTTAGGTGAAACTGTCATTCTGCCACTAACAGAAATCATAGTGATCTTCGTATCACATTATAGCTCTTGAAATATTGCAAAATAGCGTTTATGTTCACCGTGACTTCCAATTACAGTTGTCCCACTGCCAGACATTTGTACATAAAGTTTTAATAAAGCAAACGTACAACTACGTCAAAATCCACTTTCCTACATTTGGTAAAACTCGTGTCGATATAATTGGTTTTCTAGGTATTCTTACATATTTCTATGTTATTCTGAGAAGGGTCCCGGTGACTTCCCCAGATTACACAAACAGGACTGGGAAACACCCTCCACCCCAGAACCTCCCAGTCAAGCAAGAAGCCTGCTGGGCTCCACCAGGCAGAGGTGACCAGTCACTGCACACACCTCAGCCTTTATTTCTAGACAGAGGGGACCTGGCGGGCAGGCAGGACCAGGACCGTAGCTGCAGAAAGGCAGTGAGTGGCATGAACAGAAAGGAGGGCTGAGGATGCGGACACTCTACATCAGACGATGAGGTGGCAGAGATCAGAAGTGATTCAGGGAAAAGTGAAATCGTAATGATCATTCTAAGTAGCGTCATTCAGGCTACTGTGCAGAAAAGGAAACAGCAGGAGGGACGTCTGGAAATGCGTGTGCTAAACAACTTTACACTGTGGGGCATTGCTGAAGACCAGGGTGCGGAAAACACGTCAAAGCTGTGTCCCAGAACAACGCGCAAGGGGAAAGAGCCATGAGAAGGTAGGTGAAAGTCGTGCGGTCTATCCTGGGTGCCAACCTCCCCCTCACTAGAAATTCTACAGGAGCAAAATAAAGGCAACAAAGAGGAGAAATAGTCAAAAAATGAACACGTATCTTCACATAGCAGGGGCCGCCAAATTCTGAACAGATCCAACTGGGGGGGGGGGACAGACCCGAGAAATGCCAGAAACCCTCAAAATCGGGCAGAATCAAAAGAACACCGACAGCAACCAATGACTCCTCATTAGCAGCCCCGGCTTCTGGGCGCTGTGGGAGCAGGCTCTTTAAGTTCAGGTGGGAAAAGAGAACCTCGTCTGGAATTTTTATACCCAGTTGAACTGTCCACACAGCGAGCCACTGATGGGCATTTGGAGGTTCAGCTTCCCAGTGTCGGACCCCAAACACAAAGCTGGTCCAGGATGACACTCCAGCAGCCAAGGGAATCGAGAACCGGGACGTGGGAATACGGGATCAGGGAGAAGGCAGCCTCTTCGACTCTTCCAAAGTACAATAAACTGTAAAGAATATGCGCATAGACACACTCCGCCCTCGCACAGGGAGGAACCTCCTTCTGCTGGTAAAAACCTTCACAATAAACCCTTTCTCCAAGAGCGAGCCACAAGTCTGGGCTCTGCATAAAATTTGGGGAGCAGTGCTATGACTGCCATGTTTTCATTTCAAGGTGCTGGTAAAGCTCAGGAAATTACGTAGAAAGATAAGTAGAAATTCTTATGTCTTTGTTCTTTACAATTATGTGGAAAAGTTAGGTGGAAAGTCAAAATGGAGAGTGAGCTTTGCGCTTTCTTCCCTGCTCAGAGCGCAGAGGGCAAGTGCGGGTCAGTGGTGACGAGTCACCAGGTGTCAGTATGTACCTATAATCAGAAGGCCAGGTGAAAAGAAGTAAGTAAAAATTACAGTGGGACGACCAGAATGGAGAAAGAGTACACTACGAGCAGTTTTATTCGTGGGGAAAGGGTCAGGGAGGTAGAATCTTGTTTTTCATTTTGAACCTTCATCTGTTAACTTGAATATTTTTTTAACTTGCAGATCATGCGATGTTCTATGATTTGAGGAAAGCTAGTGTCCCAAAGATA